GAGGAACCATTACTTGCGAAAAAACATTAAGCTAAAGTAATCCTCACTTGGCTTCTGTTGTGGCGAATTCATGAACTCCTTGTAATCATATAATATTAATCGTAGTTATGAAGACCAAGATGGTATGGCCTTTTGTGTGGTCATAGTCTCCTCTCGTTGTATAAAGGTTATTTGACTTTGTTTTTGCAACTTGGTCATATTGGTAGGAAGACTTGAAGGAACTCATCTAGCTCGGAGTCCATTATATGCATGATCATTTCCAAAGTAAGAACGTGGACGTGGTACATTCCCAAACGTTTCCCCGGCAGCGTAGTTGGCATTGACAGTGAGTTTTGCCACTCTTTACACCATACTACAACTCGTCAAAGAGACAAGTGAAGCCGATCCTTTGACCCAACGTGTGCTAAGCAGTTGGAGTATCTCTATTTCTGCCCTAAGTTATTCACATTTCCTATATCCTCGTAACATGCCTAACTGTTACAATTTTTTCTTTGCTTATTTAAATGTAGTGTGCCCTTTTGAACAGCTTTCATGAGAACTCTCCACACTCCACGCGGGCGTTCTCACCCCCTTCACCCTTGTGCTGAGGGTGTTGATCAGAGTCAGCCATATTGTTACGCAGTCTTTCCATAGGTCTTATCACAATCTCCCTCTTGCCCCATAGGATTCGTCTGGTATCTCCTTGGTTCGACTCATATCACCGCATCTGTGTTCCACGAGGCGTTATTACGTATCCCAATCGTCTGGGTGACTAATTCGAGTCTAAAGCCTTTGAGTAAGTCTCATAGTCGAGTCTTTGCTATATGGACCACGTCTCTGGTAAAATAGGCCTATTGTCAGACAACTAACTCTAGTCTCCGCCGCGTCTATCCTATTTCTATCCGCAATACCAAGTCCATGACTTCCTATGCCCTAGTTTCTTGTGTGCCAACCCAAAAAAGTTGTGGTTCAACATTGAACATAATCAAAGCAAGCAATACCACAACATTTGTGGGTTGGAGTACAAGAGACTAGGACACAGTAAGTCATAGGATTGGTATTACGGATAGAAATAGAATAGACGCGGCGGAGACTCGAGTTAGTTGGCTGACAGTAGGCCTATTTTACCATAGATGTGGTCCATATAGCAAAGGCTCGACTACGAGACTTACTCAGAGGCTTTAGACTCGAATAAGTCACCCAGACGCAGGGGATAAGTAATAACGCCTCGTGGAGCACAGATGGGGTGGCAAGGGCGAGTGAAATACTCGAACCAAGGAGATGCCAGACGGATCCTACGGGGCAAGAGGGAGATTGTGATAAGATCTATGGAAGGAGAACTGCGTAACAATATGGTGGACTCTGATCAACACTTCCAGCAGGGGTAAAAACGCCCGCGTAGAGTGTGGAGAGTTCTCATGAAGGCCGTTTAAAAGGGCACACCACACTACATTTAAATAAACAAAGAAAAATATTGTAACAGTTAGGCATGATACGAGGATATAGGAAATGTGAATAGCCCAGGGCAGAAGGAGAGATACCAGAGTTGTTTAGCGACGAGTTGTAGTATGGTGCTAAGAGTGGCAAAACTCACTGACAATGTCGACTACGATGACGGCGAAACCTCTGGGAATGTACTACGTCCACGGTCCGACTTTGGAATTGATCATGCATACAATGGACTCCAGACTAGGTGCGTTCCTCCAAGTCTTCCTGCCAATATGACAAAGTTGCGAAAACAAGCTCAAACAACTTTCATATAATATTAATTTATTCAGTGGTTCTTCAAAGGCCAACTTTTTTTATATAATCAGCAGAACTACATTTTTCTAGCGTAATTTGATCTTTGCTT